TCAAAATAACTTTTTATTTTAAAGAAACCATTTTGAGGAGACTGACAGCTTTTAGAGCTAAAGTATTTGAAGGTAAAAGTTAAATCTTTTTTGAATCATGCTTGACTTCACTGTAGGTGGCAAAAGTCCAGAAATGGTTTACCATTGATTTCTTCTGTTTTATTTTCTTATTTTTGTCTTCTCAATCTGCCTCATAGTTTTAGAAAACCCAACTTATTTCTGTGACCTTGTATAATCTCTGAGCCAAGATGCATACTAAAGCTCTATGATGTAAGCATTAGGGATAATTAAGCAATATTTCCTACATCTAATATGTAGGATTAAGGATTAAAATGTATTAATAGAGTACTTATATATTGGTGATAAAAGATCTTACTTTTTAAAATTCTTAGTGAAATGAAGCTTAAAGTATAACAATTTCATTTTAATCAAGGATAATTGAGGAGGGCCACAATTTCATGTTTAGATATGAAACTACCTACCTAAAATGTTTTAGAGTATGCCATTCATTCCCAGTATATGTTATGGTTTCCTGTAATTTATATACTTCTTAATTCATCTTTTGCTAGAAAAAATATATGGAGCTGTCCATGAAATCACTGGGAGACAAACCTAAACTAAAGGAGATTATGTTTTAATTTTTAAAATTCAATTATTTGTAGATGCTATATGAAAGCTTATAACATACACTTTTGCCCGTCTTAGCTCTAGAGTTATCTAGTGAGTATCCCATTATAGATCATACTATTTTGTCCTTCATTGGGACATTGTGAAAATGAACTCTAATATAAGAGTCAATTGCAATCTGTGCATCCAGTTCACAGGCTTCAAGCCTGCCTTCTATTTGTATTTATAATTATTTTCTGTTTCTCTTTTCATGAGAGTCAGATGTCATGGAACTCTGTATTAAATCTGTTTATTTTAAAATTGTGTTTGTACCATAGTAGAAAACACTATCAGGATTATAAAAAGATGAGGAAAATGTGAAAAATACAATAATCTCAATCTCACTAACAGATTTCATACGTTCAATTTAAATTTTTGGAACAGACATTTCATATGTTCATTAACTCTCATGAATAAACATAATGTAACTGTAAAGAGGGAGAAGAAAGAAGACTGCAAATTCAAATACACATGTCTGATAGAAAAATAATAGAATATACAGTAACTGGAACCTCAGAAATGTGCTCACCATCTTAAATCAGAAGAAGAAGAAAAAATAATTAAGAAAATTCTAGCACATTCCTCCCAAGAGCCAAAAGTGACTAATACTCCATGCAAAATTGCCCTAAATTTTAAATTAAATATTCAGTTTAAATCATACCATATGGTTAGGAATCTAGTACTAAAAATCCATCCCAAACAGTGACATTTTCAGTGCTTTAAGAAATTAATTAAATTTCTACTTTGGTGGGTCTCCTGGATGGAGAGATTTCATGGATTTGACTTCAGTTTCATTTTTATGATTTAGTTACCATCTATTATTGACCTTATTTTAACATAGGTATATTTGTTAACTCCTGTGACCCTTTAATATTTATTAATTTATTTGTTTATGAATCAAATTTATATAGCTGCCCAGCTCACCAAAGATGACTCTGAGCGATGCACAACAAATGGGTAATACCACATATAAAAACCTCAGGCCTGACTTCTGAAATATCGAAATAGGTGGAAGTAATCTAATTTGGAGTGGGGGTGGAGAATGTTTCATAAGGCAGGTGTAGTAGAGAAAGCACTGTTCCTGGATCCATCAAATGTAAGTCCATAGCTGATGGTACCTGTAATATCCTTTCTACATCAGATCTAATGGGGTGGGATGATGTAATTTGGGACGGGCAGTTCCTCAGATAGTTCAATCCTCTTAGGCCATGAAGGATTCATTGCTCAAAACCAGCACCCTGAATTCAACTCAGAAGCAACATGCAGCTTTATGTTTATTTTAACAAGCTCTTCCCATGTCTTGAAGACAAATGCCATTGTATATTGGTCTTGTATCTTTCAGCTAAATTAGAACTTTGTGCCAACGTGACTCTTGACCAGATGTAGTTCCTGAAATTTGTACTGCAAACATATCTGGATGTGAAAGCTTTAGAAAGCCACTCTTAGAGTTTCATTGAAAGCCTCAATGACCTATCTTTTGTTAGTTAGCATATATCTTGAACAGATCAACAAGCTGTTTTTTCTTTCATTTATAATCTGTCATTAGGAAAACCAACAGACCATGTGAATGAGCAAACAGTAATGGATATTCTTGATTTGTTATTTATTTATTAGTCAAACTTATATACATAGCTTCTATCTACTCCCAAAGGGGATTGTAATACTTGTATCTGAAATTTGAATTATTTTTAAAAAGTTGTATTTACAGGTCCTTGGTTAATTACTGCTTGTTCAGTGNGAATTTAAATTTTGTTCCATGTCCACTTCTCTGTTTGAGAGTGATGCAACCACATGATATTTAAAGCAACATGTAGCCCTCTAACTATAAAATGTACCCCCCATAAATTCTGACTGAAGATAGTCACCCTTTAACTAAATAAATAATTTAGATTAAATTAAATCTATAATAAAATAATCACAATTTCACTAACATTCAGGCATAATTCTCTTTTAAAGTGACTCCATTTAAATCAGTGGATTTTAATTTACTTATGATGTGTTCTAAGTAGGGACAAATTGAATTCTACTAACTAATTATACATGGATGGCAGCAGAAATGGTTGTTGTGAACCCTTTTTTGCAACAATGTCTTACCCATTGTTGTTTTAACATGGAAAAACAAATCTCCCAACATAAGACAAACCTTTTTACTAAGGTTTAGTAAAATCCTTTTACTAAAGATTTCCATCTAAATTGATGGAAATGCTTTCGGAAATCAATCTTCATAGAAAGAGGCCATACTACGCTTAACAACTCCTGACTCACACGAAGAGTCTACTTTTATCTGCCTTGTTCCTAACACACTGACCTTGGAAACAAATGCTGGAGGCTACATGATAGAGGAAACTCATACATTCCTTGCCTGGTTCCCTTACTCCCAGGAAACTGTGGGATATAGTGCTGGACATGACGTTACCTTGGGTACATGACAGTCAGCCCCTAACCAGGCTCTGTTTTACAGGCTTTGGTGGCACCCTCTTTATATTCTTGGTAAGATATGAACTTGTGGTAATTGGGGCAAGAATGGCAAACATATCTATGTTCTTTTCTTCCAAATCTTGTTTGACTTTTCTAAGTGTCTGTTTTAAAGAAAACAGTATAAGCTCTTGGGCTTATTAGGCACTATTAGTGTTTTATTGTTTAAGTGTCTGACTGACAGGGCATAGGAGCGACTACATCTGAAAGGTACTATTTTTACTTTTTTCCCTGCAGAATTCTAGGCAAAGTCTGGTGCTGGAGTTGGCTGTCATGTCCAAGGCTGTCAGCTTTTTTCTTCTTTTTTCCCCCCTTTTGTTCATTTTCTTCGAAATCACAAGGGTATGATGAACTGCAGGGTCAGATGGGCTGTTTTGGATCAAATAGTTTGTTTAGGATATCACGTCTCTCTTTCAAAAATGAAAGTTGTTTTTTCTCCCCTTGCTCCATACTTGATGTTGAGTTTGGCAAAAAAAAACAAAAAAAACCCTTCACTAGAAGATGAGTTCCACTACTTTATTGGAGTTCCTTGATTGAGTGAATATGAATGTTATAATTGATCAGGAATAAAATAGTCCATTTTGCCTGCGTTTCATTTTACCTAGTTAAAAAAAAATAAAACCAATCCCTGGCTAATTGATTAAAATTTCTAAAACTTTGCTCACAATGACCATTTGTTGCATCTACACCTTGCAAAATTATTTTGCCCATCATGGGAAAATGAATATGTATATATATTTGTTTGTTCAAGTTACTTAATTTGCCATGTTAAGGATTTCATGCCTGTCAATTACATTATATTTTTTTGGCAAATGAAAGGAATGTAAAGGCTACTGATTTCAGCCTTTTGTATTATTATTAAATTATGATTTATAATAATGAAGATATTACCAAAATCCCTCTATTTTAATGGTCATGAGCAGGCAACTCCAGCAATTTATGTGTAGTCTGACTTGTTTTAAAATAAGCATAATACTAATATTTTCACTGCTTTTGAAGTAAATGAGATATGTAGCTCAGCCACTTCTATTTACTTTGAAGTGTGGAGCTATGTATAGAGATGGGAGATGTTTCATTTTATTATTGACTTGTGACATCTAGCTTCATTATGATGATTTTTATATTATTGCATGATATATTCAGATTTCTTGTATCTTTCTTTGTATCAGAGTTTTCCTGATACTTCTCCTTCCCCATTAATTCTATTATTTCTTAGAGTTTGCGATAGCATCTTATTTGTTATGAAAGTCAAACATTTTATGAGCAAATTATTTAGACGCTCATAAATGCTTTGAAAAGCTTCTGCAAATTTTAACTGACAGGATCGAGGTTATTATTTGTTTTCAAGCTAAATGGAAACTCTTTCTCTTTTATGGCTCACATCAATGATTGTTTTTCATTACGGCTTTATTTGTCATTTTCTTTTTGCTAGATTATGATAGACAAAAGTCATTCAGGTCTCCCATTGCTATACCTTGTGTTCCACAATCTTGCAATTTGTTTCAAAAAATACTTTGCAGTGTGAGTGTGTGAGAGAGAGAGAAAAAGAGAGAGAGAGAGAGAGAAAAAATATCTATCTGTCTGTCTGTCTGTCTGTCTATCTATCTATCATCTATCTATATACATACACATACGTATGTCTGTGTATGTGTGGGTGTGGATGCAGCATCATATATTTTTATATATATAATTTCTTGCCATTTCAGCTGTTTGTCTTCATATGTGTCAGTTAAACTGTAGTTTTATTTCATTCCTATTGGGTCAGTGAATCCGTTTCCTTGATAATAAAACCCTGAATTCTAAGAGAGAGACCTATTGTTAATACTCTGGATTCATCCTTTTCCCCTGGTTTTCATTAGGTTCCGAGCTCATGCCCAAAGCCCTCTCCACTAGGATAGTGGGAGGCATTTGGTGGTTTTTCACACTTATCATCATTTCCTCGTACACTGCTAATCTAGCCGCCTTTCTGACAGTGGAACGCATGGAATCCCCCATTGACTCAGCAGATGATTTAGCAAAGCAAACAAAAATAGAATATGGAACTGTTGAAGATGGAGCTACCATGACCTTTTTTAAGGTAGGACCTTTAAAATTAATTAACGAGAGGGAGGGAACTGTTTTCTTACTTCTACTCAACAAATTAGCAGGCAGAAAAGCTCTTTCTTCCTCTAGATTATTTTTAAATCTGGGTTGTTGTTGTTTTTTGGCATATATGAAAATGTAGGATATATTTGTATATGAATAATTTACTTTTGAAGTGATAGTTGTTAACATATTTATCCTGACTTTTTCATCAAGGGACTAATGAAAAAGCAGGACAAAGTATACTTCTGCTGGATTCTCTTTGTTTTATTGTAACATATTTATTGTAATTTATTGTAACCGATGAATCAACTTGCACTATTTTACTACTTAGAAACATCAGATCTTGGTTTGACATTTGACTAATATGTTTCTGATGTACTAAGTCAGTACCAAAGTGATATCCTTATTTGCATCATACTTGGCATAAATTACTAAACAATACAATATCTGAATCTTCTTATTGGTAAACCCTGTCCTGATATATTCAATTTCATTAGACCTTGAAAAAGTTACCAGTTAGAATGCAGTATTCAGCCTCATTTGTCAACTTTGTGTGAACCTGAACTGCTTTTTGGAATTGGACTGGGATGCTGTATAATACCCCTTGCCCATTAAAAAAAAGCAATAACATTTGCTTTTGTCAGCGTGAATGTATTGATGAGGGTCTGATCCATCTGACTTTTGTAATGTTTTTAGCATTTTTAGAACTTTTCTCACGAATTCAATGAATAGTTCAGAAATACTAATATACATACTCATTTTCAACAATATCTTAGAAGCAACAAGCTCTAGAAGAACGAGGTTGTAAGTTTCCATCATTCTAGATTCCTCACTTGCTGTTCCTGTGAAGTTGTATTGGGAATGGAAGCTAACTTCAAAGATAAGATTGAGCTTGCTCCTAACTTTGTATGCAAGTGTATGTGAAGTTAACTGTAAGAAAACAAGCTGCTACTATATCCTAAAACTTCTTTATAGCTACTCATTTGAACAAACAGTTGTTATTTCAGTTTCATTTTATTTTCCTGCTTGTGAGCTACAATGGTGTTAGCATTTCATTTCTGAAGGAACACCTATCTAGTTGCACTGAGGGTGGATACATTGCTTATTTTAAAATGTACATGGGTCATTCATTTCTCAGGGCAAACCATTAATATTTTCAAATGGATTTAAACACTCGGTCTCTGGGGAATAGGGAATAGCTGACTTTGTTGGTCTGTTTGATTAAAAAAAGCATAACAGCATAGCAGAAATAACATAAGGCAACCTATATGAAAGGTTTAAGAAAACAATTGATAGACTTATGCTACTGTTAATTGTGTATATATTTTTGTACTTATGACCTATGGTTACCCTGATATTTGTGAACACAGGTGATAACTTTCAAAAATAATTATTATTCTGGTGATCTAATAGTTTGACTGAATTTGGTCTGACTTTATGAATAATTTAGCTATTTCTGCTGATACCACAAGAGTGAAATAAACATAAACCAAGCTCTGGTGAAAATTCAATTTACTCTAGAAATTAAAACTAATTAATATTTCACTGCCCAAAAAGAATGAGAAATGCTTTTACTACTAGGTTCTTTTGCAGAAGATGTACATATCATCTTAATGAAAATTTTATGAGAAAAAAAATCTCTTATTTAGTAGGAACTAATCAATTATAGCTGCTGTAATGGTTTGGGGCATTAAAGCTGTCAGAACATGAATAGGGGAATGTTTGAGGAGCTCTTTTTTTTTTGTTTTTCAAGAACCCATATGATTAACCTCCCAGAGAGTATAGATGACACAGATAATTGATTCCCCTTTACCAAAGAGTAGAGGGGTTTCATTTACTGTCATATTTATTTTGATCTTGTAAAGAATGTCAATCATCTATTCTATCTGATTGTATGTCTGAGAGGAAAAGCAATGTTTCATAATCCAATTGTCAGAACTACTATTCCTCCTAAACTCTTAAAAAGCAGGGTCCTTTTCTTTTTCTTGTCTGATTCTATTTATTGCTTCTTTTCTGTTCCATGAGTATTACAGATTCTTTACAATGTTTTTTATTTTATTTTTTCCAAATTATTGCTTTCTATTAATATATATTAAAACTAGTAGTATCTATCACCACCTAAGAAAGTAGATAAGATAAGATGATGAGATAAGATGAGAGGGGAGGGGAGGAGAGGAAAAAAGAGAGATAAGAGAAGAAGATAATTTTTAATATCATTTTTAATGGCCCACATTAAAAATGAAATTCTGTTCCCTGCATTCAAGATAAAGTATATATCTGCCTATACCGGGGGAGGGTTCCCGCTAATTCTAACCTCTTCTATAGAAGAGGTT